AAAATATAAAGTGGAACAAGAAAGCAGAGAAACCCCAAAACAGCAACATGTACAAAGCACAAAAACAAAACGTGTTTTGATCTCATAAATCAATCACAGTCTTCAAACACATTTTGTATTTTGTTGTTTCTCAAGTTTCACTTTTTATTTTTGCTTTTGTTTTGTGATTTCATTGAAAACAATAAGACTTTTGATGATTTGTGACAATTTGTTTAGTTTTTGGGTGTCACTGCTTTTGCTTTGTGATGTATTTCACATCAAAACTTGTTTTGTTTTGGTGTTGATTATTTTGTTGCTCTGCTTTCTCAAGCTAAACCTTTTAAAAAGTTTATACTTTTTTGCTATTAGGCTTTTTGTCACCGCTTAACAAAACATTGCAGTATTTTTTCGATAATTCTTGACAGTGAGTTTAGTTTTTTTGTGTATTTTTTCTTTTGTGTTTTGTTTTTGTGTGTCAAGGCTTTGTTCGAACTTTTAAATTAATCATGCTTTCTTTGATGAAAAAAAAATGATACGTCAAAAAACATTTTTGTTTTCATTTGTTTGCATAATTATATTATAATATAAATGTTCTTTTCCCTGGATTTCTTGGATGAGGCTCTAGATTTAAGTGAAGTTTTTATTATAAATTAATTGCGAAAGAGCACAGGCTTATGATTGACCATAGCTGGTCCTGCATCAGCTAAAGCTGCAGTTAACACTGGACTTTGAGTTTGCGAAATTCTGCCGTACAGCGCTGCAATAAGGAGCGGGATTAAACAAGATGACTAAACATTAAACAAAGCGAGCGATTGATCCAAGTTTTAAATTTCTGTCCAGAGAGGTCATGTTTTGATCCTCGATTGGTCTCACGTTATTATATGATGAGAGTTCGCAGGTCAGAGTTCACCAAGCTTGAACTTTCCAATGCAGCGAACTATGAAACTTGCCTCACGACCTTACATTTCCGGTCTGACATGTTCAAGCGTATGAATGGAAGTCTATGGGGAGAAAAGTGCAGTGTGACCGAATCATACGATTCCTAACTCACTATAAATAACCAAAGTTTCCTATCTCAGTATCTTCATCTTGAAGAATCCCTCCTCCCACCCCTACTCGCTCTTATGTTTCTAGATTGGACGGCACGGCGGCCCAGTGATTAGCACTGTTGCTTCACAGCAACAATGTCACTGGTTCAAGTCCTTATTTGACTAGATGTCATTTCTGTGCGAAGTTTGCTCGTTCTCCCCATGCTCGTGTGGGTTTCCCCTGGGCTCCTCCCAATCCATAAACATGCCATTTAATTTGAAAACTCTGCTGCTCCGTTTCAGTGTGGATGAGGAAAAACTGAGACATCTCAAAAACGGAGGCGGGACTGCTGAGATTCGCTACCTGATTGGGGCTTTTGTGTCATTGCGTATCCTTCCCTTATTTGTCAAGTCCCTATCACAACACATGGCTTTAACGCTACCGGAAGACAGTACCGTAAACATCAAAATGGGCACAGAAATGGGAGCGTTGTTTGCACTATTGTCTGTTTTAGGCGCCATTGTGCAGTTATTCATTTGTTACATTTAGTAGCAACTCGACCTCATCGTCTGTCCGCAAAAATACCTCTCTTGCTTTCTTTGCCATCGCGTTTAATGTTCAACCGGCATTTGTTGACTAACAATAACCAAATGCCGAGCGAGACACATGCTTTCTGTTTATATTAGAACGCGCATGCCCAGAGTGCGCGAATGGTCACGTGATATACGTTTTTAGTGGCGTAGTGTGGACAGATATGTTCAGAGGCGCTAGGTGAAACGCTAGTGTGGACGCGGATCGTTTTTTATCTAAAATGCCGTTTTAAAACTAAAACGCACTAGTGTAAACGGGGCCTTAGTAAGCAGTATAGCTATTCCTATAATCTGTCATTAGCCATTAACAAGTCGGGGGAGTTCATCGAGATCTGAGCTCAATCTCCCTTCTCGGCCTGCTAACAGGAGGGAGCCCAGGGCTCGAGCACCTTTTAAGCTCAGGGCTCTCTCGCAGGACAGCATGTCCAACAAGCTTTATTGTCAACCATCAGCTAAGTGTGAACTCTTGAAACCAGAAAAGACGACTAAATTTAATCAAAACTTCTGATTAATGATGCATCTCTTATTAGGAACATTTGGTTCAGTATAAAGTTAATCTGTGTGTGTGTATAGTAGTGTATATAAGTGTGTAGTAGTCTGTGTATATACAGTGGTCAACATTTGATGTGGATCCAGAAATTTTTTTTTTAAATTGTCCTAATACAAGAATAGGGGTTGTTCATGAAGCGTGATGATCCACTTCGAAGGTTGACTACTGTATATGTAAATAGATTACCTTTTATTTTAAAATTATCTGAAAGTATCTACTTTACATATAAAGTGTGCATCAAACTACACATTAAAATGGCGTCTGCTTTGAATTAAACAATCGCTTTTGTGTATGTCGTCCACAGGTACATGAAAAAGATGTGATTGGCATCGCTCACCACCCTCACCAGAATCTGATCGCCACATACAGCGAGGACGGCCTGCTCAAACTCTGGAAGCCCTGAGCCTCCTCCATCAACACATGGACTATATTATATGCACACGTGTCTCATCTTTGTGGTACCCCTGCAAACACACGTCTCTTGCTCTTCATGCCTGCGATACAATACTGTCTTCCATTCAGAGGATTCAACAACAACCATCTCTTCCCTTCATTAACTGAAACTAACTTCTTAATGCTAACATGGAAGAAAAAACCTGCATGAACGTACTGGTCTCTTACTATTATTATTAAGGGCTTTGTAGTATTGTCTGTGATGATATCCGCATGCCAAATTTAGCCCGGTCGGAATTAATGTGGTAAACGTACTGGCTTCCTTTTTGCGGGCCATTCTTGAGGTAACCTTGTGCGTTTCTTTGATCTTTTTGGCCAAAGAGGAAATAATCAGTGTGTATTTGCTCATAATGTGACACTGCACTGGTCCTGGACTCATTGAGGACATTATCGCATATTTGTACTTGTGTACATTTAGAATTCTGATATGTTTAGAGTTCATACGGTACAATATTGTGTTGATTTTTACAACGGTTTAGTGTGTTTTAACACTCGACCAAGCACATCTACTCGTACTGCATGCAGGTGAACATGATATGCAGATTCTGCAATACTGTATGAGAGTAATCGGTGTGGTTTATATTCTGATAATTACAGATTATTTTCTATCTATACATATATATATATATCTTTTTTTGAGGATAATGGTATAACACTGCTTTACAGTGCAAGTCTCGGAGTATCTTACAGTCCTGGTAAATATTCAAATTCAAGCATGAATAATCCGTGACAATCTACTCAAAAGATCTGTCGTTAAGATGCATCATTAACTCGTTAGATGTGGATTGCTTGATATTTGCAGTAGATTTCTAATAAAGATGTAGAGACGTCTCGATTTACAACATGTGGATTGTTTTTTTTTTTTGTCCAACATTTAGTCGCTTCAAGAACCCAAACAAAACAAGTGACTAAATAACAATGTCACATTTAATTTATAAATAGAACTACAAAGGGCTGTGTTACCGATCGTAATCAAAACTTCACAATTGTACACAATTCTTCACTCAACATACAATAAAATTAATAGTGTGAATAATGTTGAAGGTGCAGTATGTAAGTTAGACACCCAGTGGTTAAACTAGGTATTGCAGCCCTGGCTCAAAACACACGCAGGTTGCCAGATTGAGGACATCAACAGGAGTGAGCCTGACAATCGAGCCTGAAGGCTGATTAAACAATGTTCCAAATAAAAAGAAACGACTCGCGATATAAGGAATATTTCCCATATTGAAAGGAGTATTTGTCCTAACCAACACTTGAAATTTAAATATTATAAATGACCTCTATTTCTTGCAGCTGCACAACTATGATAGTGATCACCAGGTACATTTCGTGTTTTTATTCAGTGTTAAATGCTAACAATGCAAGTTTGAATGCCATTTTACATGGCATTTATTGTCATCCTACTGAAAGCAGCAGCAGATAGTTCACCTCAGATCTTAGATAAACCCTTTGAAAATGATTTTAGAGCTGTGACTCATATATGACCAACCAATATCAGGTATTCAGCATGTACATTTAATAATGTTAAAGAGGTTTAATATGTATTCATTTGATTATAAACCTTACCATTTCGTTTGAGTGCAGTGAGTGCCCTATTCTGTGCTTCTGAAAGGCTGTATTTAAATGTTTGTTGTGTTTCGTCTAGTGTGTGGAAATATAAATGTATATAATCTAGTTTCAAATCGACAATAACCTCCATATAAGTGAAAAGTTCTATTCCTTGGGTTTAAATTATATAATTTCATTTGAGACTGTAACAGCCCAGCGATGAGGGACCTAAAACTTTGTTTTCCCAGAGTACTGGCTGAGCCACAGTAATGCAAACGCTACTGGTAAGTTCCTTTGTCTTTGGTTGATACTTTCAGGCCAAAGAAAGCCTTTTGTTGGTTAACTTGTGTGGTCAGAAGCTGGGCAGGTTTCTAAAACCCATATGCCGGTTATCTTTCTGACCCCAGTACTTCATTTTCATGCTAATATATATTATGAATGGGTCCTCATGTGCAAATGAGATCAGAGCTGGAGAAATGCAATTTAATTAACAACTACCTCATATGGAGCTTTGAATCTGTGTCTCATTTCGGAGGCTGTTTCTGTAGCATTTTGGTCACAGACGCATACTTTCTGAATGAAATACACAGTTTTCCACCATGGCAACCCAGTGTGCTGAAATATAATTAGCTTAACTGGCATTGGGCGGACTAAAGGGACCAAAACAAAGACAGACATTCTGGCACGTAATATACATTTACAAAGCAGAATAACTGACTTCAGCATTGTTTTACATATAAACATGACTTTTCGCTTAGCGCGTTTCTAAAATATCTGCAAACATATTATGGTATTTTAAAGCTTTAGAGGAGTCAAAAACTTACATACAGCACCTTTACAAGTGATTTAAATGTTCAACTTTTAGTGTGCTCTCATTTTAAAATTGAACATTCTGCAAAGCTTATTGTTTTTTGTTTTGTTTTTAGATGTACTTCTCAAATAACCAACAAACACAACATGATTTAGTTTTGTGGAAATCCTTGGCAGTTATTTCTTACTTCAGATGAAAACTAAAATATACTTAAATGTTATTCGGCCAGGAACTGGGATATAAACATAACGTCAGTGTGTTAGACAGCAGTATGCTAGTAACACCTGCTGCACAGTAAGGCTTTTCAGAAACGCATCACAGTCTGAAAATGTTTTCAACACGACATCTTATTTTCTTTCAAAGGACCACCATTTTAAGTTTGAAACGCTCTAAAAAACATTAACTGGCACATAACAAAAGACCAACAACATCGAGATCAAGTACACTGTAAAAAATGCTGAGCTCCACACAATCGACTTGTGTTGGGACAACCTGAAGGACTCAAATTAACTTATTCGTTTATACAAATTCATCTGGATTGAACATGAAACTATTAAGTTGTCCCAAAAACACTCAACAATTGTGTTGTTTCAGCAAACGACGGTAGCCTTGAATGGAGTTACCATAATTAGTACAAAAAACTAAAATCGATGACGAGATTTGTAAAGCTGGAAATTTCTGGGATTATGGCACAACCAGCTTTACACCTGATTCCTCTTCCATTTCCACGCTCACATTTTTTTATAGACTGAACTGACTGACAGTCTCCATTTATCATATTTAAAAGTTTGCTCCAGAATTTGGTTTAGGGGATTCTTCCACTCGATGATGACACAAGAGGTCGGCACTAAGAGGTCTTATGCTAGGCACAACTATAGTTGAGAGGTATTGGACTTTCCTCTTGGTCCTTTAATTTCTGGTAATCCAGAAGAGGTGGTGTTTGTGAAGGGCAAGTTAAGCGGATCTCTATGAGGTCTGACACTGCACCCCTCCTGAAGGGTAAAAGTCTTCCTCCTCTATGTAGTGGTAATGATGGCGTTCGTGGCTCAGGTCACAGTCCTCGAGGTCAGCGTAGATGTAGAGGTCATCGTCCATGCTGTCAGACTCCATGTTCTCCTGTTTGTTGGGCAGAAACCTTTCCAGCTCCTTCAGTTTGTTTAGTGGGAGGAAGTTCTCTTCAGGAAAGACCACCTTAAAACAATTTGGGCAATTAGTCTTGCTGACTGATTATTTTATGGGAGAAAAACTAGTTAAGTTATGAAAGATGTTAGTTTTCAAAAATACAATATAATGACACAATGAATTTCTAAATATGATTATCTATTTTTAAAGTCTTGTTTCTTTTATTTGAATTAAAAGAATATATATACAGTTAAAGTCAGATTGATTAGCCCCCCTTTGAATTGTTTTTTCTTTTTTAAATATTTCTCAAATGATGTTTAACAGAGCAAGGACATGTTCACAGTATTTCTGATAATATTTTTTCTTCTGGAGAAAGTCTTATTAGTATTATTTTGGCTAGAATAAAAGCAGTTTTTAACTTTTTAAACACCATATTAAGGACAAACTTATTAGCCCTTTTAAGCTATATTTTTTGATAGTCTACAAAACAAACCATCATTCTACAATAACTTGCCTAATTACCCTAACCTGCCTAGTTAACCTAAATAATATGGTTAAGCTTTTAAATGTCGCTTTAAGCTGTATAGAAGTGTCTTGAAAAATATCTAGTCAAATATTATTTACTGTCATCATGGCAAAGATAAAATAAAGCAGTTATTAGAAATTAGTTATTAAAACTATTATGTTTAGAAATTTGTAAAAAAAAAAATAAAATAAAATTAAATTAAAAAAAACTCTGTTAAACAGAAATTGGGGGGAAAAAATAAACGGGGCTAATAATTCTGACTTCAACTGTATATATACACACACTAAAAAAATGTTAAGATCAATTTTATTAGCTCCCTTAAGATTTTTTTTCCTATTGGCTACAGATCACACCACTGTTGTCTAATAACTTGTCTCTTTATGCTAATTCAGCTAATGTAACATGATCATGGAAAAAACAAAAGAAATTGGTTATTAGAAATAGTTTTTAAAAGATAGTTTTTGTACTGTTGTTAAAACATTTTCACTGTATAACAGTACACTATAGTTTTACATGTTTTAATTCAAATATTCAATATAACTGTAATGTATTTTTGTTATTTTATTTTTTTATTAACCCTTTAATTGGCCCACCAAAAAAAAAATATTTTAGATTGCATTTCCTAACTCCTAACGTCACTAGTTAACACATTTCATAATTTCTAAAATATCAGCCTTTACCAAATGGTAGATATGTCGGTTTATGATAAAAGTACCCGAATTAATACATATACTATGAAAAATCTGAAATATGAAGTGTAAGAACAATTTATGTGAAATAATATTCAAAATAAAACATTTTCAAAAAATGTAAACATTTTTGAGTGCAGCAGGATTATGTTTGTTTGATATTCTTGTAAACCAACAATGCTGTGTGTGAACTATTATTTAAAACAGTCTTTCTTTGAATGACCTTAAACAGTCATTATGTAAAACATAAAAATATGCTCAACCATTTGGTACAGCAGGCAGGTAAAGGGTTTAAAAACATCAAAAATGAAACTTTCAAGCATGAAATAAACTGATTTTAAAATGACTTACATTTGCTACAATTCACATAATAAAATTCTTTTATTTATTGATACCTGGTATCAATACATACAAAACAAATAGAGGGAAAAAAACATATTAATTAATTATTAATTGTAATTGCTACTCACATTGAAATGAATGATGAGCTTCCCTTTCTCAAATGGCCGACGGTGCATAGGCATCCCCTCGTTCATAACACATTTCTTATCTCCAGGTTTGATCAGTTCCCCTATTAACATTAAAAATAAAAAGGCATAAAATAATACTATCGCATAATAACATCGAGCCTGCTACAGGCATGGTACAGCAGCAAAGCACCTTGTTTATCACACCAGAAAAGATCAGAGGTGCCCAACCTTGGTCCTGGAGGGCCGGTGTCCTGCATATTTTAGTTCCGACCCCAATTAAACCAGCTAATCAAGCTCTTTCTAGGCTAACAGAAACTTCCAGGCAGGTGTGTTGAAGCGAGCTGGAGCTAAACTATGCAGGACACTGGCTCTATAGGACTGAGTCTGGGCACCCTTGCTATAGATCCTAGGTCGTATATAAAAACATCTTTTCTGTGGGTCTTAGTACACAATGTGACTACAGAATTGTTGTTAATAATTTTTGTTATAAATCTTTTAAAATGTGTAGTTATTAAAAAATAAATAAACAAAACCATGTCTGGACTGACTTGAATGATAATCAAGCAAAGGATATTACACAAGGTCAACAAGACACTAAAAATCCCTTATGAGGAGTTTGCTTTTGTAAACATGGCCATATGGTGTGTGCCATCTGCTAAGATGACATGCTGTTAATATTACCATTCTCATCCAGCCCGATCAGAATCAACACAGTTACAGGTTTCAAGACAGAAGCTTCTGCAGATCTCAACACAAGTATTGACCCCTACAGTGCTGATGTCATGAAAAGCGTCTGTAATGTGAATGTTTACCTGGATGAGACGTTATGAGCAGAGTTCTGCTGTCCAGTGTTTTGATGGGCTTTTGAAAACCACACAATGACTCCACCAGCTGCAGCTCCATGCTCACAATCAGGTCATCTCCTTGTCTGAGTAAACAAATGTCGAGCAACGTTATCATTCAGATATTCTGTTTTTCTCAATCATCACGTCTGAATGGCCATGTGTTTGAACAGGCTGCCCCACATATAGAAACATGACACAGATACTGAAGTAAATGAGTAAGTGAGACTCTGCTGCCCTCTGCAGGACACTCCAGTACCTCTGAAAACTTTTTATAATCGGTTTTATTTAACAATAAACGAATAAGTCTCTTATATTCAGCAAGCCTTTATTGTTTTGATCAAAAAGTACTAAATAGTTGTTAAATGTTATTTCATGGTGTGATTTAAAGTCTAGACTTTAGTGCCATGCCAGAAACCATTCCACTATGCCGATTTGCTCCTCAAACATTTATTATTATTATTACCTGCTGAGTATTTTTATTTTATTTTATTTTATTTTATTTTATGGAAATCTACAATTTAAAGATTTGAAAGAAAAATGTTTGAGAAATGAATGTTTTTACTGGTTATTCATTCATTCATTCATTCATTCTCTTGTCGGTTTAGTCCCTTTATTAATTTGGGTTCGCCACAGTGGAATGAACTGCCAATTTGTCCAGCACATTTTTACGCAGCGGATGCCTTTCCAGCCGCAACCCATCTCTGGGAAACATCCACACACATACACACACACATACACTACGGACAATTTAGCCTACCCAATTCACCTGTACCGCATATCTTTGGACTGTGGGGGAAACCGGAGCACCTCGAGGAAACCCACGCGAACACAGGGAGAACATGCAAACTCCACACAGAAACGCCAACTGAGCAGAGGCTTGAACCAGCAACCTTGCGACCTTCTTGCTGTGAGGCAACAGCACTACCTACAGCGCCACTGCTTCGCCTTTACTGATCATACACACGCTAGATTGATCAAAAGCGATAATGTGACGTTAGAAAAGGAGTATTATTACAAATAAATGCTGTGTGTCTTGAAATATCTTATTAAAAAACAAGCAGAAAACGATTTCTGAAGGATCATGTGACACTAAAGACCAGAGTAACTGCTGAAATGTCTAAATAAGTTGAGCAATTAAAAATAATAATAATTAATAATAATATATACATACATGAGAGCATACACAAACACAAATATGAAACATTTCAAATTAAATATATTTCAGTTTCTGTAACAAATATTTTATAAAAACATGATTGTTTTCAACTTATTCAAAACGTTTGACCACTGGTGCACCTAAAAAAAAATGAATCTTAGAAAATAATACATAAACATTATTAGATATAGTCTTCATTTTAAATTTCCTGAGTGATTTTACCTGGTGTAAAGCGGATGTGCTCTCTGATCCAAGACGATGATGATGTCTCCAGGTTTGAGCCCAGGCTCTTGGTCCCCTTCACCATGAAACACTATTTTCTGTCCATCTTTCATACCTGCAATAACACGCAACAAAGTATTTAAAAACATAAAAGTCTGCGTAAAGCAAATATGTTTGAATGAACCGATTTCGGTGGCTCAGTGGTTAGCACTGCCGCCTCACAGCAAGAAGGTCACTGGTTCGAGTCCCGGCTGGGCCAGTTGGCATTTCTGTGTAGAGTTTGCATGTTCTCCCAGTGGTCATATGGGTTTCCTCTAGGTGCTCGAATTTCCCCCACAGTCCAAAGACATGCGGTACAGGTGAATCGAACAAACTAAATTGGCCGTAGTGTGTGAATGAGTGTGTAGGGATGTTTCCTAGTACTGGGTTGCAGCTGGAAGGGCATCCGCTGTGTAAAACATATGATAAATAAGTTGGCAGTTCGTTCCACTGTGGTAACCCCTGATAAACAAAGGGACTAAGCCGAAGGAAAATGAATGAATGAACCGATTTCCCCCTATTATTACCTTTATCAATGTGCACTTCCAGGATCTTCTTCTGTCGTAGTATCTTGCGGCCTGTGCATGTTTTGCAGCGATCGCGGTGACCAAGTCTCTGGCCTTGTCCCTGACAGCCCTCACACACTGTGGAGATCTGCTGGACCATACCAGGAGCCAAGTGGTGTAATCTGACCTGGACACCCACCCCACGGCACAGAGGACACACTTCGATTACTCCTTTACGCCCTCCACGACCTGTAAGAAATATAAAACAATATTAATTCTAACTATTAAAAAAACAACAGAAGAGTAAATAAACTGAATATAATTATACTACTGTTCAAAGTTTAAAGTCAGTGTTCTTTCTTTTTTTTTATTTAGAAAATTTACACTTTGTTTAGCAACAATGCGCCAAACTAGGGCTGTGCGATTAATCGAAATCGAATCGCAGATGGAAGCGTTGTGATTAGCTAATCGCAAGAGGCTGCTATTTGAAATATTTATGTATTATATAATTTCCCCCACCCAGAGCAAATGCATGACTGCCATCTGTGTGTGACGTCTTAAGAGCCAAATAAGTGAGCTCACTTTTGTTCTGCCCAATTAGAAATGTGCAACCAAAGTATGCAGAAAGCCCACAATAAAAAACAAACAAACAAACAGGAAAGCACAGACAGGTGGGATTATGGCGTCCCCCGCTTCAGAAGCATTTATAGGCAAATTCATAAAAAAATTAAAAAACAGCATGTTGGTAATATTGAAATATTTTGGTTTCAAAGTTACAGACACCAAACAAAAACTGTCACAGAATTGTTGCCACAGCATGAGAAAAACACCACAACCGGCACCTAAAAAAGCACCACAGGCACCAGGTGATAACTAACGCTATAACTCACTTCTGTTTGCTCTAGAGAAAAAGCTGTTTAATTTCTGAATATTTATAAACAAATTTAAATAAACGTTGGAGTAAGTTAATATGTTTTCAGTTCCTTTTTTTTTAACTTACACTCACTGCATTTTAGCAGTAAGAAGCTATAATACGGAATATACAGCTGAAGCTTGACTACAAAATTAAAATCACAAATCAAAACGCAATCGCAATATTTGCAATTAGATATTTTCCTCAAATCACACAGCCCTACATCAAACTAAGCTGACAAATATTCAGCTTTACTATCACATGAATAAACTAAATTCTTAAATAGATTACAGCTAGATTTAAATTAGCAATATTTCACTATATTACTTCTCTACTGTATTTATATGAATAAAACATTGTTGAGCACAAAAGATTTCTTCTGTGGGAAAAAAGTAGTGCATCTACTCAACAATATATATATTACTGTATTACAGGTCATAGTGTTTGATTGCTTATACAAATGTTAGCTTTTATTACCTTCACATTTGTCACATATTACATTCTTCTGGAGAGCAAGTTTCCTGGTGGTTCCATTGTAAAGGTCCTCCAAAGATACGGTCAGCTGATGCACCACGTTCTTGCCTGTGTAGAGAAACCACTACATTTCACTTTGGATTTACACTTTGATTGGAAAATTTGTGACTTTTTTTGTGATTTAATCTCAAATATTACTTTAATATTGGACGGTTTATTTTGCTTTTAAGAGACTCCTTTTAAATGCGATATAAAACATTAATGTAAACATGGTTTTAGGATTTTATTGAATTAAACATTAAGAATTGTTCAATATTCTTTACTATTTTAGATCATTAATAAGCAAATTTGTAATGGTTAACTAAGGGGCAGTTCACATGAAACCATTTTCAACAACAACAAAAAACATTATGCGTTTTAGTAATATTTACGAGACTAATGCATTTCAACAAACTTTCGAAAAAGGGTTCAAGTTCAAGATAATGAAAAGAAATCTCAGTGTAAACTATGAAAACACAAATCTGTGAAAACAGTGTGTCCGTGCAAATCCATATTAAGTAATCTGTCAATAAGTGCGAACATGTTCTTGACAATTAAACATGAACAACAGAATGGTGTTTGAGGATAGTCTTAAGGTGTGGTCATGCTACACGTTTCACCCAATTGATTGACTTCCATTCATATGCATGTGAATACGCCGGCTCGTGTGACAAGTTTTACATGTTGCTGTGTTCCAAAGTCCAAGCTTGGTGAACTCTGACCTGTGAATTTGCATCATGTAAAGTGGATGAGATCAGTGAACTTTCTGTACAGAGATGTATATGACACTTGTTTTATTGCGTATATGACACTTTTGTTTTATTGTGTCGCATTGACAGAATATTGCATGCTCAAACTCAAGTGTGGACATTGCTGTAGCCAACTAGTGTTTAAACATTGTCATCACAATGCAAAACCTTTCAGAAATGCCAAGGAAAACATCTGTTTTTATTACAGTTCAGAGATTATTTCTCTGCATTTGTTTTTTTTACATTTTAATTCGACCGCAAGTGCCCTCAAAAGTAGACTCGATAGGACTTTCTGGCATAAATCCAGTTAAAAGGGACCGCATGATTCATACAAATGCCATTGTAGTGTACAATTTGTAAAATAAAAGTATATTTATGAACCCTTGTGTGCTGTTGGCAATGTATTCATCCACTCTGGGGTGTATTCGAGAATATATTTGGCACAACTTTCTCTGTTTCACCAAATTTACTGATTTTTTTTGTGATGAACCTCATTTTGACACACATTTTAGGAAAATGCTTTGAATTATTTTTTTAAAAACTCATCACACTTTGAGCAATTTTACAACCCTTTCATGATGTTCGTGGCTGTTTTTGTCCCATTGACTTCCATTATAATGACTTTGCTGTTGCATATAATCATGCATTCTTGATTGTTGCTGGTTTTCCCATCTAAAGGGTTAATGGTGCCAACTGATGATCAACAATAAAATTACAAATTGTACCTCTTCCCAATAGGAAAAACCAGCAACAATCAAGAATGCATGATTATGTAGAATGTTGCTCTAGATGTAAGATTGAGGTTGGTACATTATTTTATATGTTTTGGACATGTTCCAAACTTAAAACCTATTGGAGAAATATAATACAAACTATTAGTAAAACTGCCAATGTTAACCTTTTACCTGATCCAAGATTTATGTTACTGGGGGATGAATCGGTTCTTCTGTTCGATCAAAGGAAAAATTTACCTTTAATTAAAATTGCTCTGATAGCAGCAAAGAAATGTATTGCTAAAATTGGAAATCAGTAGAACCAACAAGTCATATGTTATGGCTTAGAGAACTTTCTTCTTATGTTCCTGTTGAAAAAATAATGTTTAATCTTCAATTCTTTAAAAACTCTTCAATGTTTGAGAAGACTTGGGGTAAATTTATTGAATACATGAATAATTTGGATGTTACACTGACTGAAAATACGGATGGAAAAGCATGTTTATTTAAGTGTTCTGTCTTGTGAGGGTGGAAAAAGGGTGGAGGGTGGTTAGAAAAGAATGTTTACATGTATACTGAAATGATTCTGTAAATTATTGATGTGAAAATAAAACATTATATTTATAAAAAAAAAAAAGAATGCATGATTATGTGGTGTCATGGCTTTGCAATCAAAAAATGTCATTACAGTGGAAGTCAATGGAGCAAAACAGCCACCAACATAACAAAAGGGTAGTCAATTTGAACAACACACAAGGGTTAATAAAAGTGTTATATGTTATACTTGTTTAGTAAGCGTATATTTTGTGTTGCACAAATCTGTTAATAAACTTTCTACAGCAAAGGAAAGACTTCTCGTGTTAGGGAGCAATGAACCCTGTGTAAAGACTCTGTCAGTCAGAAAACAGCTCATGCATGGAGCTCTCTTCTAATGAGCTGGAAATCTAAATCTGCTGTGATAAATAATGGAGACAAGATTTCCAAGAACACCCAGAAATCCAGTGGGATGATTTGATAAAAATCAGTCTGTATCCAACAGAGAAATGTAGCTCACCTCTTCTCTCCCTGTGCATTCGCCCGCCTCCTCCAAAGAAAAGGTCAAAAATGTCCATGGGGGAACACGACCCTCCATTTCCACCTTCCTTGATGGCCTTCTCACCTCCTCTGTCGTACACTTCTCTCTTCTTGGCATCTGACAAAACTTCATATGCCTGGGAGATCTGTTTGAACTGAAAACAAGAGAATAGTGAAGACGACACCAAATCTGAAGCTATAGGTCAACAATTCTGAGACCAGCAGAAGAGCTGCAAACTGAAAAAGATGAATAGATCAATAAATCGTGAGGAAATTGAGAATGCTATCCACCCTATCACAGATGGATGGATGGATATTTTGGTATTAGGCTTTTATAGGGTTTCTACAGTCATTTAGAAGTTAAACCTAAGACTTTGTTTAAATATGTCATGTTCTTCCAGTGCTTCCAACACACAGACTTTACTTGGGCGGGCCAAGTTTTTTTTTACTATTATTAACATAATTTTGAATCTTTTTTTGTGTCTGCCCAATACAGTTGAAGGAGAATTATTAAACCCCCTTCGATTTTTTTCTTTTTAACATATTTCCTAAATGATGTTTAACAGAGCAAGGAAACGTTCACAGTATGTTTGATAATATTTTTTATTCTGGAGAAAGTCTTATTTGTTTTAATTCGGCTAGAATAAACGCGGTTTTTGGATTTTTTTAAAAACCATTTATGGTCAAAATTATTAGCCCCTTTAAGCTATACATTTCTTTTCCGAATGTCTACAGAACAAACAATCATTATACAATAACTTGCCTAATTACCCTAACCTGCCTGCCTAGTTAACCAAGTTAAGTCTTTAAATGTCACTTTAAGCTGTATAGAAGTGTCTTGAAAAATATCTAGTCAAATATAATTCACTGTCATCTTGGCAAATATAAAATAAATCAGTTATTAGAAATGAGTTATTAAAATTGTGTTTAGAAACGTGTTGAAAAAAATCTCTGTTAAACAAAAATTGGGGGGTGGGGTAAAAGGGGGGGCTAATAATTCTGACTTCAACTATATATTAGAACTGGAAAACAACACATAAATACTGAAAAGATTTTCATTTTTTGCTGTTTCAGAGCTTTTTAAGGCCTTTATTTAACAAAGAGTGAATTAAAATCTTTAGCATGACCCGAAAGAAAATGTTTAAAATGCTTTTTATATGGGACTTTTTACTTTAAGAGTGGATTTTTATGACAGGTTTTTTTAATAGTATCATTTTCATTAGGCATCCTTTTCATGACATTAAAGAACAATCTGTAGACGATGATACATTAAATAAGTGTTTTAATCTTACCTTTTCCCCCTCTGTTGGATTTTTATCTGGGTGATATTTCAATGCCAGTTTACGATAGGCCTTCTTCAGTTCTTCAGGGCTGGCACTGGGTTTAACACCCAGCATATCATAAAAACCCGTTTCCTTCACCATATTTGATCACAAACAGGTTAATCTAGGCAGAGGGGACATTAAAAAAAATACACTGAAAATGACACCTGTGACTATTCAATAATTACTTAACTACTATTTATAAAGGTTGTAATTACTCTTTACCTTGCCCATATTTTAGTCTCATTATGTTATTAGCATTTGAAATCATTAAGCAGTATCTTCCTCAATTCAATACTCAATTACATTCAGACAGATTCAACTGAATGCTTTAAAGCAGCTGATTTTACACATTCAGTTAACAGATTGTTTTAACCGGGCGAAATCAATTGTCAAGCTATAATGAGCTATAAGGTGTCTGTTACTAAAACCCTGGATTTAGAGGAAATCGAGCGATAAAAGAAAAGAAAAACACTTAATCCAGGCCATTACATTATTTTAATAATAAGCCGCCAAATACCGTGAAATGTGGTGCAATCCCTGCTCGCCTTCTGACTCGGTGTAAGAGGCAAACAAGAGACTTCCAGAATCTTCGAGCAGAAGCTCTGCATCTTCTTCTTGTGGAGAATTGTTGAACTTTGATAGCTGTGCGACCTGTTTCTGCCACCTACTGTACGCAGGGACGTACGACAGTGTTTCCAGTGTTGCCAATTTAGCAATTTTGTTGCTAGATTTAGCAACTTTTTATACTACCCTAGCAACCTTTTTTCAAAAAGCACCTAGCAACAAATGTAGCGATTTTTAGCATCCATTTGGCTACTTTTAGCAATTTTAAAACAGTGATTTAAAAGAGCAGTGGCTGGAGGCTTCACTCAGTTAATTGCTAGCTCAGATTGTTTTTCATAACTGTTAATTTACGGATATTTGTTAACATGCATAATTGTTGGTAATTTAGGTAGCAATACATTACAATGGGGCTATAATTGTTGTCACTTTTACAAATGTGTTAATTTCACAAGTTAAAAAGAGTAAGTACACAAGCTGTGAAAAAAAGCTTATCAAAAAGTTTTTGTATTGTTTTTCATGCAAAGTTTAATGGACACACTTCAAATAGAGGGGCACCTCAGCCAATGAGGGCAGAGGGGCAGTGGCTCAAGCCACATGGCCAGCCCCCTGTGCATGGCCCTGTGCATATGTATGGAACTATTGTGAGACCCAGGTTCTATCTATGACCCTGACATATATGTATAGTGTGTGTATATGAATGGAGTATATCAAGTGTGTATATGTATATGATGTGTGCAAATGTAAAGAGTGTGTCATGTATGGAGTGTATATCTATAGAGAGTATCATGTGTGCATATGTATAGAGTGTATCGTGTCTGTATATGTATGGAGTATATGTATAGAGTGTATCTTGTGTGTATATATATGGAAGCAAGTTGTACATGCGCATACAATATGTATAGAGTATCATGTCTGTAAATGTATGGAGTGTATATACAGTGTATCATATGTGTATGAAGTATATCATGTCTGTATATGTATGGAGTATATAATGTGTGCATATGTATGGAGTGTTTTATGTGTGCATAAGTATGAAGTGTATATGTATGGAGTGTCACATCAACTGTATGTATGGAGTGTATCATGTGTGCATATGTATGGAGTTTATCTTGTGTGCAAATGTATAGAGTGTGAATATGTTTAGAATGTATCACATGTGCAAATGTATGAAGTATATTGTAAAGAGTGTATTATCAACTGGATGTCTGGAGTTTATCATGTGTATAGAGTGTGTATATGTATAGAATGTGTTATGTGTGCGTATGTTGTATGTGTACATTAACTCCCAGTAGCTCAGATGTACATGACTCAACTTATATTGTGTATAGAGTGTGTGTGTATGTATAGAATGTATCATGTGTGCGTATGTATGGAATTTATCATGTGTGCATATGTATGGAGTGTACATGTATAGTGCATCATATCTGTGTATGTATGGAGTATATCAAGTGTGCATATGTGGATCATGTTTGCAAATGTAAAGAATGTATCACGACTGCATATGTAGAGAATATCGAGATTCTATCAGCTAATAGACCTACAAAAGATATTCCGCCCGAACAGGGACTTGAACCCTGGACCCTCAGATTAAAAGTCTGATGCTCTACCGACTGAGCTATCCGGGCTTCTAAAGCAGCCGTTGTTGTGGCGACATCTATCTTTGACATCCATACATGGGTGCGCTTTTAATTTCAGTAAACAATGGATTTCGTTAAAAATAGCAGAATTATTTTGATTTACATTTCTGTATTCCCTAAGTTTTTTTCTTTATACACGTTGTTAACTGACGCGAGAACAGAAGGGACGGACGTCACGTCGTTTGAAGTTGTTTTTAAAAGACTGATTTATTTAAATATATACAAATACATTCCAAGACTGGAATAATACTGCAGGTTTTTTTGGCAGCATATCCATAAAACTGACAATATTCAGCAGATTTACATTTAAGACAAAGCGAGGATTGTTGTTTACTCTTCACGCCACCAGGAGGCAGTTTGGTTACACGTGAGTAAAAAGTCCTGAATTTCTATATATGTTTTAATCATATTTCTTAATGTCTGGTTGTTTCTTGAAGAGTGGGATTATAATTGTGCTCATAACATTATACACCCCTTTTAATGTTAATAACATGATTAACTTTAAGAAAATAAGAGGGATTGTGTTTTTAGTACAGCACTGAATAAGAAATTTCAAGTATTATTTGTTTGCTAAACAAGACAAAATAATCACTGAATTCATTGAAAAATCCAATCATTACAAAGTTTCATGAGTAAATAATGGCGGAATTTTGGGTAAACGACCCTTTAAATTAGTCAATTACCCTATATGTAATTTTCGCTCTATAAATGGTTAAAACTCTACTTCTCTATTATAGATAATGTTCTTGAAAAGACATAGCAGAGGATGGTTTCGATCCATCGACCTCTGGGTTATGGGCCCAGCACGCTTCCGCTGCGCCACTCTGCTGTCGGTGAAATAATGTATGATCAGTATGAATTATTCTACTCTTTCCGTTCCACCTAACTCAACTGGTTTGGATCTAGATAACATTTTAGGTCCATTTTAGAGCCGAGATGTAACGTTTATGCGCATTAAGCTGGTTATCTTCCAGAGAATATGTTTTCAGTTGTATCGGAAGCGGATTCGATTGTACGTGCAATATAATATATTGTGTACGAATTGTCTGAAGCATATATTGGACTGTTCAATGTGAGAGTCATTAAACATGAAAGTACAAAATACTGAAGCATATATTGCCTTTAACACGATTATATTTACGACTGTTTAATGTGAGTGTCATTTAACATGAAAGTACAAAATACTGAAGCATATATTGCCTTTAACACGATTATATTTACGACTGTTCAATGTGAGAGTCATTTTAAAATGAATATACAAAACACTTCATTCCCTGACCGGGAATCGAACCCGGGCCGCGGCGGTGAGAGCGCCGAATCCTAACCACTAGACCACCAGGGAGCGGTGACTGTACAAGAATATGCAGACGCACATAAGCATAAGCACAATGTACAAACATAAAAAGTTCTGTGTTGCGGCTGGAAGTTCATCCGCTGCATAATATCGTGCTGGATAAATTTGCGGTTCATTACGCTCTGGCGACCCCGGATTATTAAAGTGACTAAGCCGAAAAGAAAATGAGTGAATGAAAATGAAATGATGCAGGGAAAAAAGTGAAAAGAGAGGTGTAGAAAGGCAGTGAATGCCCAGACAGCAGCTAAAATCTCTGACTAGTTCTTCAGCAACCCTCTGCCCTTCATCATTGTAAATTAGTATTAGCTGCTTCAGTCCAACATCTAACTCTATAGATTGGTTATTGGTTTGTTATGCACAACATGTCAGTAAACATTGACAGTAAATTCAGATAGCAACATATAATGATGTAAGTACAGACTTAGATTAGATGTCTTTGTCAATCAAGCACTGTTATATGTGGGTTTTCAATTAAGCCAGTCATGAACAAGCTCGGTCACATCCACACACCAGTCTGGAGAGCATGTAGGTCGGTTGACCCCCTTAAGCTGATGATTTGGTTCTGAATTGTCCAAATTTGTACCGTAGACCTCTGATAAACCGGTTCACACCTTAACCCTCTACTGCTCGGTGTAACCATATGGTAACATAATACTCATGTTTATTTTCCTGCCACTGTTTCTTTAAGACCAACATATTATTTTTTTGTTGGAAAGAAAAGACCTTAGAGTAGTGTAGAGTAGAGTGTAGAGTAGTAGAATTATGTGCTTTGGTTAAGTCACATGACATCCTGTGTTTTTTTTTTTGTAGCGCAATTTCTGACAGACTGGCGTTTTTTTGTGAGTAGTTGCTAAATGCAAATGTAAACGTCAATAAAAACAAAGGATCAAATTATTTTGATCCACAAAAAATATCTGAAACATCACCTCCAATAAGTTATGATGACATATTCACGACTCAATTTTTTTATCAAATTAGTTTTCTGTAAATCGATAAAATGTGTGTTATCAAAGGGCAACACTGTGCAATGGTGGAACATGCAATATTGCAATGGGTTAGCAAGCTAACAAGGTCAGCTGTGAACTTTTAAGTTGTAACAATAACAACATGAATGCTAGTAATATAATGTTGATTAGTCAAATGTTAATGACATTTACATTATAAAATCTAGTTTTAATGGCAATACTACTTTTGAATAGATTTTAATACAGGCAACAGTGTATTAGTGAGCACCACCATGTTCTATGGTCATTTAAGAAGAAAAGGACAGAACTGGCTCTTCCTGCAGATGAAAGTGAGGATGAGATGGGTTTTAGTGACCATGAGAAGGATGCAGACTGGACATTTGATAAAGACAGTTCATGTAAGTTAGCTCAGATGCAGATAAGACAGGTGTAGTATAGTATATAGGATAATATATACATAAACATTGTTAGCTAGTAGCTACATTATTCTGAAGCATCTGGATAAACTAGACTTGTTATTTACTTGTTATAATATTTACTGGAGAAGATATTTATATTTACTGTTTGTTGTGTATATGATAATACAATATTATGTTTGTTTTCAATAATATTCATTAAAAAGAATGCAATAATGAAAGCTGTTGGAATATGAGTTGTGGTAAAGTATGTATAATGTGCCATTTATAAGTTCTGTGTTAAAGCTCATAATGCTGCAACACCAATTAAATTATTTTAAACAAAAATGATTCATTATAAGGAAAGTTTTAAATTTGAAATTTCTCAGGTAGATCCACTGTTGGACGTTGTTGCCATATGGCAACATTTCATAAAGTACCTTAATAAAATACAATTTTCAGCATTTCAAGTTAAGCCATTTCACGAAACGAAAAACAGTCAAATAATCTTTTTTTTTTTACAGGTTTATCATAATGCGTGCGGTAGAGGGTTAATATTAGCTTCTTCAATTCAACATCTAGATTAGCAGGATGATGAAGATGAAACCAGGGTGGACATTTGTGCAAGACAATGATCCAAACAGAAAGCTCTCAAATGCTTTCAGAGAAAGAAAATCAAGCTGTAGAATGACCC